TAAAAAATTTATCAAAAATTCAAAAAATTCCATTTTACTCCATTATACAGCAAAAATTCCGATTTATTCATTTATTATAAAAATGGAATTTTCCGGGTCTCTGATCCAGATCACTTGAGTTAATTCATTAGTACTTTCATCAATTTTCACCTCATATTCAAATCCATAAATTTCTCTTTTAAATTGTTTTAAAGTATTTATAAATTCATTTGCTTCAAAACAACGCGGATGTGATTTACCATCTAATCGATATACATAATTGTAAATATTGTCGTAAATCCATGTCTCTAATCCTTTATCTAATAGTTGGTACATTACAACCTGCTTGATGATACATTTTAATTTGATTTCTAATATCTTGTGGGATTTAAGAAATTCTTTGTGTTCAGAAATAACCATTGCATGATTATGATCTAATTTTACAGCCAAAGTATGCCAAAGACTGTTTGTGTATTGATCGATGCTCTAATAAGGAAAGGACAGTTACACCTTTGAGACTGACGATTTCTTGAATTGATTTTTTCTTCTTTCTGTCCAGGAACACCTGATCGCGAACATAAAATAGTTCTGTTTCTAATATTATTATTTTTATCCCGTTTCACCTTTTCCTTTCGTATTTGAAAATTATAAAAGTTCGCGTATTCTTGAACTTTTAATACAAAATCATCATGGTTTATATATGTATCTGATATTTTCAGTTCAGGAACTGAGGTATTTTCTGAAATGCCTTCAGACATATTAACAAATATAACGTTTATTGTATAAAACCACAAAAAAAAAAAATATTTTATTAAGCACATATAATTCTAATTTATTTGTTCGAAGTAAACTTTTGATTAGCGATATTGTTTCACAAATAATACGTCATATACAGCTTATCGTACACCCCGGTTTAGGATAAGGATCTAAACCTCCCGCCTTAGGTTAAGGATGCACCGCTGTAGTCATGTGATTTGACATTTTTATAGCACTTTTTGATTTCACTTTTTTTAAGATTTAACTTCACTTACAAAAATTCTTCAATATTATCGGCTATCAACATGAAGTATGAAATGAGTTAATTTTATTTAGTTACTTTGATCGATATGATGAGGAATTGGTAAAAACAAAAAATAAAGAAGAATAGTACTAAATGAGGTTTTCATTGAAAAAAAAATTTTTTTATTTTAGAATCGAAAGTGATTCCTTCACTGGCAACAAGATCTACCCGGGAAAGGGCAAACTTTATGTCCGGTCAGATAATAGGGTTAGGATTCAGAAGTTTTTAATTGATTAAATTCGTTTTTTTTTGTAACGGATTGAATAAAATGATTATGATGGATATATATATAATAATAATAAAAAAAAAAAAAAAAAAAAAAAAAAAAAAAGAATTTATCATGCGCAGACATTTAGATTTTTTATTTTATTTTTATATTATATAAATATTTTGGGATTTCATTCTTGAAGGAATGAAATCGATCTTTATAATCACTAGAAGAAGGAGCCTTTGAAAAAAAAATTTTTTTTTGATTTTATATTTTTTTGACTATTAGAGCTACCGATTTGTCGGATCAAAATCAGAATCCCTTTTCTTACAACGAAAGAATCCACGTAAAATTAGTTGGACCACAGTTTATCGTCGTATGCATAAAAAAGGTATCACTGAAGAAGTTGCGAAAAAACGTACACGTCGTGCAGTTAAACATCAAAGAGCTGTTGTTGGTGCATCATGGGAAGCGATAAAAGCTAAACGTAATCAAAAACCTGAAGTAAGAGAAGCTGCTAGAGCCGAAGCTGCTCGTGAAAGTAAAGAGAAAAAGAAAGCCGAACAAAGTAAAAGAAAAGCTGAAAAGGCCAAGGTGATGAGAGATTTTGAAATTTTCTTATTTCGAAATGAATTTCTAAAAATTTTTTGATATATTATATTTATTGATTGATTGATTGATTGATTTTTATTATAAATAGCTTGCTCAAGTTGCTAGTCGTGGATCTAAAATTTCCAAACAACAAGCTCGTGGCGCTCAACAGAAAGTTTCTGCAAAGAGTCGTTAAATATAATTATACATTTCCTTAATCAATGTTTTTATAGTTTTTTAAATATTCACCGTAATAAAGGTAATTTTTATCTTAATATAAGGGATTGGTATTGTAATTCTTGCAAAAAGATGGTAACGAGAATAGAAAAGTTTTATTATTCAAGATTCTACTTTTTTTTTTTTTTTTTATTTAATGGAAATAAATTCATGGGTGTTGAAAGTTTTTTTCTTATGAATGATTAAATTTGATTATTATTATTATTATTTTTTATTTCTCAACAAAATAAAAAAAAATAAAAATTTGTTCAAATTCAAAAAATTTCTTAATGATGAATTGTTTTTTAGAGTTGCCATTAAAAGCCAAATTTCTTTTTCATTATTAACGTTCATGCGATTCCTTGAAAAGATCATCAAAGGAGAAAATCTAATCTATAATAGAAACCTAGAAGAAGCTTGATGAATAGTAATGGATGGCATGGGAAATTTCTACCAAAGAAAGGGGAGATGTTATATAAATAATCAAAATGAAGGATATGCTTTAATTGGTTATTTAGTTACCCAAAATTACACGAGTGACATCATGAAAATTCTTTTTTTTTAGAATATTCATGCGCTTTAGATGAAATATAAATTCATTACACGAATCGCCATTGGAATTTGGAATCCTATGGAGTTTCCACTAGAGCATCAGACGCGTTTTATTATATTATTATATTAATTTTTAAAATTTTTTTACAATTGTCAAGCGAAAAAAAAAAGGAAATATAAAATTTGAGAAAGTAAGTCAACACAAATAATATTGTTAATGCAAATAAAAAAGAAAAAAAAAAAAAAAAAAAAGGAAAGAAAAGAAAAAGAATTTATTTTTCATTTCTTTCCTTTTGCCACAAAATTTAAAAAAAAAAGAATATCCGTCAAGAACATCTTAATGTATCTTATTAATGTGGTAATGGGCTGGTGACGAACATAAATTTCGACCACAGTCAGTTGTAGTTGGTGTGTGTGGTGGGGACAAAATTAATGAAAGTTCTGCTTTTGAAACAGGATAAGGTTCGCGACAAAATCTTGGTTGGTTGTGGTTGTTGTAGTTATTGTTAGAATGTTGCAGCAAGGCCTTTTGATTGTTCTTTCTTTCACGGGCCTTTAATGCGGACCTATAATTTTGGAAAAAAAAAAAAAATTCTGAGTAAAAATTCAAGTGAGATTAAATAATTTCAATAATCATTTACCTTCGCTTTGACTCTAACATTCTCTGTCGTCGTTCTTCGTCCGTTTTAGGACGATTTGGGTCATTATCCCAGCGTGTACCTCTTGGTTGTTCGATCTTGTGTTTATCTTTAAGGTGTCTGCGCAAAATTGAGCGCGCGTTCTTTCCCCTATATATCTTATCACACTCGGTGCATGGAAATTCTTTATTCTCAGAATCATTCTCCTTATTAGATAATTCTTGTCTTAGACGTTGATTGAATGACCGAGGGGTAGTTTCCGCTGAAAGTTCGGCATGTGAATAACGTTGTGATACGGGTGTTGTTTCTTGAGATGAATTAAACATTAGAGTTCCCCACACGTCTTGATCAGATAAATTTCTGTCATCATATGAAGATGGTTCTTGATATGTCGTTGGCGTACGAACCCATGTTTGGTCAATTACAATAGAAGTACGTTCATTATATGGTTTTAGAGCCGTATTGGATACAAGACTAAAGTCAAGTTCTTTAATCAAGAAAGTTCTTGGACAGCCTTGTTTCGTCCCTAACAGTGAGAAGGAAGTAAGTCTTTGAACTTCAGGTTGCAAAAGGACAGGGAAGGACTTTGGCTGTGCTTGTTGTGTACCAAGTTCCTTCAGAGGGGGTAAAGAAACGTCATCAAGGGACGAGAAAAAGATTGAGTTATTGCTTGTTGCAGACATAATTTTTTTTTTTCTTTTCCTTCTCTTTTTTTTTTTTTTTTTTTTTTTTTTTGTGTATTTGATAAGCCGGTATTATTCACAAGATTTGTTAGAGTGTTAGAGAAAAAATGGTAAGTGCAACATGTAAATTTTTTTCGAGAGTGATGTGTAAAGTATTGGCAAAAAAAAGGTTTTGAGGAAGGAAATCAACCAAAAGGGAAGGAAGTGAAGGGTTTAAATAATTTAAATCGCAAATGGGGGTGTACCCTAAAGAAGTTGTTTAAATTTACGCGTTTGAATATGAAAAAACGCGTCGTTTGCAAACAAAACGCGTATAGATGTCTGGTTAGTATAAGATTTTCACAGGAAACGCAAAATCACTAACTAAATTTGTACTCGTGCTCATTTTTGTAACTTTTGAACGCGTTTTTTTTCCCTGTATAACATGTGTCATGTGAACCATAAATAATATGCGATACGCACGTTTTTTTCCCCCTCAACACATCAGAAATGTTATTTGATTGATCGTTACTTAAGAGTCTACGAAAAAAAAAAAAAAAGAAAGGTAAAGGAAACTGATACTGATAAAAACCTTATTTTATCAACTGTCGGGTAATTGGAATGGCCGCGGTCAAGCAGATTTTTTTTTTTTGTAGACCGTTTGGCTGACATCCAAGCGGATATACATTAAAGATAAGGGATTCTTATCTTAATAGTCATAAAGAACTAATTAAAAAGTGAAAAGGCAAGAAGGAAAGGACTTAGATCAGAATTCATTTATCATATTTATCATATTTTTTTTATTATTTTGTATGTTATTATATATATATATATATAAAAAAAAAACGAAAGGTACCGGGCTTTGAATTTTGATGAAAACGCGTATTTATACCAAGATGTTCATTAAGTGGTACGAATTCAACAATCCAATGAACAAATTTCCCCGAGTCAATTCAGTCAATTCTATACAAAAAAAAAAATTTCTTATTTTGGATAGAATACAAGTTGGTCGCTAGATGAATATCCACCGAGCTCGCAGGGTATCGAAGATTATCGTATACCAATACCATTCATTTTCTTAATTAAAAGAAGTTTGACTAATGGAACGAAGGACAATATGATAACTTTTAATGAATCAACATACAGTAAGGTGTAAGAAACTAAATCACGTAATGTTGACAATTTAGCACATAATTAGATCTACTTGGTATGATCATGTGATCTTAAATAATGTGTCACATGCTAAATAGTAATGTTTTATCCGATACCTCCTCAAAGGGAGAGGGTTAATAGATACCAATCATGATTTAACTAATGAGGTTAAATTAAGGAGAAAGCGTGACAGGTGTTGTTACTGTTTATTTTGGATCTTGGACAAAAGTTGTTAAGACCGTAATTCTATTATAATTTATAATTTTGAAACGACATTATATAATAATTATAAAATAACAACATAAACGATGACAATAAACTCCAATGTTGAGATCATATTAGCCCATTTACTGCGTCATCAAACATTTTGGGGGATTCGAATTATCGATACGATTAATTCGATTTTGGTAGGATCGATTCCAATCCCTACTTCTGGGGTCAAAAAATGATCGGTAGATAAATATTTTATGAACTTTACGGATTAGGAAGTACCGAATAAATATTAAAGGACTTCAATTTTAAAAATACCGAAATGAAACTTGTTTATAATGCAAATATTTTGCGATTTTTTTTTTAAAAAATGGAACTTGTACAAGAAAAAACTTTATTGAACACTCCAACAAGAAGAGGTTCCTCTAAAGCGGATCAAGGAATGAACAATATTCTATTTGGTTCGGTGGGTTATTAATACGTTTTCACATTTCCTTGGCTGAGGAGACTACAAAAGATATCTGAAAAAAAAGATTTCATCTTTTCAGTTTCATTTTATATTATGGAAAAAAAAAATAAAGTTTTAACAATATTTCTTCTTTCCTTTTTACGTCAACTTAGATTGCCGGTATGGCTGGTAAATTAATAGAATATCCATTTGATACGATTAAAACGCGATTACAATCTCAACCATCAGATAATATACAATTCAAAGGACCATTAGATTGTTTTCGCCAAACGTTAACACATGAAGGATGTTGGGGATTTTACCGAGTAAATACATGGATATTTCTTATTCTTTTTTTTTATTTCTTATTTTTTTTTTTCATCCCCCTCACACTCTCTCCACGGTCTATCAGGGATTATCGTCACCATTAATGGGAGCAATGTTAGAAAATGCCTGTTTATTCTTAGCATATAATCATATACAAACAATGATAAGAGAATATACGACACCTAATTATAATAAATCACAACCACCACCTCTTACTATGGCACATTTCTGTATTTCAGGAGGATTATCAGGTTCATTGGCTAGTTTTTTATTAACGCCGGTCGAATTAATCAAGTGTAAATTACAAGTACAAGAGACGTTCTCATATGGAAATAGTAATAGCGGAGGAGCTAGTGTCACGATGAATAAAGGACCACATTATAAAGGACCATGGAACGTTATAACATATACGTTAAAACATCACGGTATTAGTGGACTTTATCGTGGGCATTCCGGTACGTTTATAAGAGAGACCGTAGGAGGTGCGGCATGGTTCGGTACATATGAATTCGTGAGTTCAATCGTGTCACATCGAATCAGTCTCAAGGAAAAGAATGTGACGAAGAATGATTTATCAGCGATAGAATTGGTGAGCGCGGGATTTCTTGGAGGAGCAAGCGCAGGAATGGCGTATAATTTATTAATATATCCGGTAGATTCAATAAAGAGTCAGATGCAAACAGATGAAGAAGTTATGAGAGCAACCGGTAAAGAAGTAATCAAGAGAGGATTTTGTAAAGTCGGTAGAGATTTATATAAAAGTGATGGAATTAAAGGATTTTATAGGGGTTGTGGTATTACCATTGCTAGGGCTGTTCCTAGTAATGCCATCATATTTACGACTTACGTGAGTATCAATCATTCACAGAAGAGGGAACGAAATTTATTTATTTATTTATTTATTTAAATTTTTTTTTTTATTTTTATTTCGTAGGAAATTTTGAAAAGGCATTTCACCGGCACATTTAACTTTGCATCATCTTAAAATTTTAAGGATCGTAATAGACAAATAGAGATAGCATAATCACGCAACATATTAATGTTAATCTTTAATGTTTAATTGTAATTTAATTATAATATGATTAATATAATTTGCCGCTCACACGGTAGCACTACTTAACCAAACTTTAATACAATAAGAACCGTTCATGTTTTTACCTTCAACCTTCGCATAATCAATCATACTCTTACCGACCGTATTAAACCTTAATCTACCAATAGATTTAGTAACGACAGCACTTCTAGCTGCACCTTTCCTTAAACTCATTCTACCGCTAATTTGTAATTTAATGCCCGCTAAATGTGTAGGTATAAAATTATTCCCATTGCGTAACAACTTTGACCAATTCAAATAATGTGTTGAGATACCATCTATAATAGGTTTATCAAGAGATGTTGCGGAAGGGAGAGGAGGGGGAGGGGAAAGGAAATGATATGAAGTGGGGATTAATCCATTCCTGCTTTTCATACCATCAACTAATCCAGTTGCACTATTTGCTAATGAAACTAATGGAACTTTCTTAAATAAATTTCTACGGATTTGCCTAATTCGATACTTTTTTGTTTGCATCGATAAATATTCTGCCAAGATTTTACTACTTAAAAATGGATATTTTAATAATATGATATTAAATTCTACCGGTTTTTTATATAACGTAGAATACAATTCGGCTAATTTCTTTATTGCCAATTGTGATAACTGGTTACTGGGTTCTTCCGTATGAAAAGTTTTGCCGGTGGTTCCCGTGAGAGAAGGCTTGTAAGCGTATTGTTGTATAACAACTTTACTTGGTGAATGTTTGATTTGAAATTCATTTAATGGTATTTGCCAATAATGTTCTAAAGATGTTCTAACATTTTCATCATAATTGGTGTATCGATTCTTTTTCGGATTAAACAGATATTGTGTACTTTGCCATTCTAGTTTGGTTTTCAACCGTAAGTTACGTGTGTTCATTTTTTAATTAAACCGAAAGAAAAAAAAAGAAATAGGAAACTTTGAATGGTGAAAAAGAATTCAAGTATTCTTTTTAAAGAAAAAAAAATAATAATGTTAAACTCTCATTATTTAAACGATCACTTTATTTTACGCGAAAAAAAAAAAAAAAAAAAAAAAAATGAACGAAAAAATTTTTTTGATATGATTCACGTGATACCACAAAATGATTAGATTATACTGATCATACTATACCTACCTAACACTAATAATGCAAATTGTAGGTCAAAGAAAGTAACGTGAGGTTCCGCTTGTCCCAATTTGTAACTAGCAAGCTTTAAGAATCCAATCCTAAAAATCTTGTTAATTTTTTTTTTTTAACCTTTTTTTTTTTTAAAAAAAAAAAGAAAAAAAAAAAATTATATACAGAGTTTCTTCTATCAATATTCCTTCTTTTCAAAACCCTTTTTTACGTGAAAAGTTAGCTATGAATACAAGGTAATAAAAAATTCGTTTTTAATGTCCATTTAAAAGTTAGATATATTGTAGTTTTTAGAGAAATAACACAACTCTCTATACGCTTTTATTTAAAAAGCAAGGTGATTTTTTTTTTTTCTGGTTTTATTTTTGTCAATACGATAAAGATATGAAAATAAGATTACAAATCATTAATAATTAAATCTCATTCTCAAAAAAAAAAAAAAAAAATGTAGTAATTTCTAGCATTGGTTTTTCTGAAAAAGTGACCAACTTCAAAAGGAAGAGATTCTTTTAAACTTTTTTTTTTAAATAATATACGAAATAAACGACGAGAAAAACAAAAAAAAACAAAAAAAAAAATTACTGTGGATTTTAATGGAGATAGACAAGCTACGTCCATTTTAAGAAATTCAACGCGTCACAAAAATTTGTTAAATTCGTTTTGACTATTAGAAGCAAGTGACAACCTGATTATGATGATCATTTACTTAATATATCACATCGCATGATACAGTCGCATGTACTGTAAATTAATCGCGTAAACAAGAAATCAAATAATCGAAAAAAAAAAAAATCACGGAAAAGTCGTTAATACGTTTATGTAATTTACCCTTATTTTAATAAGTATCTTCCGTTATGACTGATCGAAGGATGAATTGTTATATGGAAAGTCGACCGGTTATGAATCCGAAAGCTATTGAATTCAGGTCAATTAGAATGAGCACGAGAAAAAGGATAAAACTTAAAAAACAAAAAGAGGCTGAAGAAGTTGAATTGCTTCAGGAGCAACAAATACAACAAATACATACACAAAAAAAATCGAAAATACCTCAACAACGACCACCCTCTTCCCGAACACGTAGTTCTTTAAGGCAAAGGCAAACTCCTGAAATAATAGAACAAAGGATAAGAAAGTCTGGCGGACGTGTACCATTTTCAGTATCAGATGAACATGACTTATATGAATTCTTACTTAATCAATCAAAATATTTACGTGGTAACAAAATTTATGAACAATTTGCCAAACAAAATCCTCGTCATACTGCTCAATCTTGGCGTGATCATGCTTTAAAAAAGTATGTTGATAGACCTCATTTTATAAAAGAATGGGAGAAAAGATGGTTTCCTAACAAAAAAAAATTGGCCGAAAGGGATTCTACCACTTGCACTACAAACAATGAAGTGCAAGTTGTTATAATTAACAAGGAAAGAGAAACCTATAATAAAGATTCATCTGATAGTCTCGATTTGGAGGTTGATGATGCTGCGGCAGAAGCCCTAATATTGAGACAATCTGATGTGCGAGAAAATGATTGTACTGCTCAAAGTTCCGTTATTAACAAAGAAAAAGATGAATGTACTCCCGATTTGGAATCTGATGATGCCGCCGCAGAAAGCCTTGATATTGGGTCAACCTATGGTTCAAGAAGTTCAAGAAGGCGATCATACTGCTCAACTTTGGATTAATCATGATTTAGAAAAATATGATGATGAAGATCTAATAGAAAATCATAAGTATCGTCTGCAATGTGGTCAATAGGTGTGTAAAAATTATTTCAATTATTCCAGTTAAGAGAAATATCTAAATAAAAAATTAATTACTTCTCAATTTGTTGATTTAGCTACATTGTGAAAATGTTGTGTAGTATATTGTTTAATAGCCCCTAGATTTAATCAAAGATGTTGATTTAATGAATTTGTATTAATTACAAGTCAACCAATAACAAGTGCATTTTTATTTCTTTCTAATCAAGAGTCGATCATCTTAAAGTTGTCGATCCTTTTTTGGGGATACGCTTATTATTTTTAATTATATCTTTCTTGAGTTTATGCATGCATATAAAGAAAAAAACAATTGTTATCAAAATGAGTATCAATAGACATAAACGAAATTAAAAGTTTAATAGCAATTTTTAATATAAATTGATATTCATAATATGTAAAATGGAAAAGAGAAGAGAATAGGGATGAAGAAAGTGAAAAGAGAGAAAATAATTTGCATAATATAATTTATATAACTTTTTGATTTATTTATAAATATATAAATTCAAATACAAATACAAAAAGTTATAATATATAAATGCTAATTGTTTAAAAATATGCTTAGAAATTGAAGTATTAGTTGTATAAATAAAAAATTTTATACTATAATATAATGAGTGAATTTATGATTAGTTTTAATGAAAATAATATAGAAATAAAAATATAGTTTATATAGAGTATGAATTTGAAGAAAAATGAAAGAATATAAAACATTAAAAAAAGTTATTTTATATAAAATTAAGATTAAACTATTATAAAAAAAAGATTGAAATTGATATTAACATTTAAAATAGTAAAATCGCTTAATAAAATAATACAAAAATTTAGAAAAATTAAAAATATTTATTAATTATTTGAATTTAAATATGATATTTATAAACCTTTTATTATAAGCTAACTAATAAATAAATTTAATAATATAGAATTTTTAATTAAAAATCAAGAATATTAAACATTAAAAAATAATTCTTAATAAAAAAATATATATTTTAAATCATTAGATTAATATTTTAAGCATTTTGATTACAATTTAAAAAATAAAAAAAAAATATTTAAAAGATTTATTATATAAATTCTATTATAATAATATGAAACAAAAATTAGATAATTTTTATTTAAATTAAATATTTATAATGATTTTTATAAATTATAATAGTTAAAAAGAGTATTTAAGTAATACAATTTACAAATTTTGTATTTCTTAACTATTTTTTTAATTTATAACTAATTGATATTATATAATTAGCATATCTTATTTAATAATAAAAGATAAGTATTTATTAAAATTATATTTATAAATATATATTAGCTGTCTTATCAAATCATAAAAACAATTTATTAGAGATTCTAATTGATCAGATTAGATATTATAAATATATACATAAATATATATATCTAATTAAATAAATATTTAATATTATATTAATTATAAAAAAATATTATAATTATATTAAACTATTTAAAAATCATTTAATATTATATCAAATTTTATAAATAAAATATATAATTAATTTTGATTAATCTATTTTTTTAGTTAAAAGTATAAGCGAAGGATTATTTATGTATAAGTAATAGTAATAAAAAATGTCTATCTGTCTATCTGTTTGAATCTTAAGATAATACGTAATTGATCTCTTTTGTTACACTATAGTTCAAACTTAATAATATTTTTTAAAACTATTCTTTAATTAATATCAATTTCTATTTTTATTATAAAATAATAATAAAAATATAAAATTATATTATGTTTCTTATATTTTATTTATAATATATTTAAATATTTAAAAGTTTAAAAATTTTTTAATTTAAATATATCTTAATAGTATGTAAAAAGTTTTATTATAAAACTTCTTTTTTTTTAATAATAGATTTACTATTAATATTACTAGTAATATTAAGGATAAAAAATATATATAGAAAAAATAATAATATTAAAAAAAGTATTTTGTATTTTAATTATATGACTAATTAATTTTATTATTATTTTTTTTTAGTTAAGAAATGTGTCAGAAATCAGCTGAATCTAAATCTGATCTATATAATTAACTATAAATTATTTAACATATATTTAATATATTAAAATTCTTTTATTATTTATTTATAAGATAGTTTTTACAATTATTTTGCTTATTTAATAGTTCAATTTGTCTAAATTTTTTATTTTATAAAATTTAAAAAGAACTATAAAATAAAAATATTTATATAAATTAGATTATTAAATTAAAATAATTATATAATTTAATTATATATATTAATATTATATATATATATATTGTGAACGGGTAAATGTGATGCAGCTTATGTAGCGTAGAAGAATGATCAATTTATAGATGACTTATCTGATATGTGTAACATATCAGACATAATCAACATAAACGACATATTAGATATAACAGATATATATTATATAACTAATATGTTAGACATGTCAGATATATATGACATAACTGACATATTAGACATGTCAGATATATATGACATAACTGACATATTAGACATAGCTGACATATTAGATATATTAGTTATATCTTTCTATATAATATATTTTATATAAATAAGTAACTTGTTAATTTATGTAAAAGGAGAAGAAAAATGCTTGAGTAGTTTTAGCAGTGAGTGAGATATTGTTAGCCGACGTAGGTAACCAATCCTGAAGGTCTATCACATTATATTACAATTTAGAGGCAACCAGGCCTATCACATTATGTTACAGTTTAGAGGTAACCAGGCTTATTACGTTATATTACAGTTTAGAGGCAATCAGGCCTATTACGTTATATTACAGTTTAGAGGCAACCAGGCTATTACGTTATATTACAGTTTAGAGGCAACCAGGCCTATTACGTTATATTACAGTTTAGAGGCAACCAGGCCTATTACGTTATATTACAGTTTAGAGGCAACCAGATTTATCATATTATGTTACAATTTAGAGGTAACCAGGTTTATTATATTATGCTACAGTTTAGAGGTAACTAGGCCTATCGCATTACATTTTAGTTTTAGTATTACTCTTCTTTTCCTTTATCTTTATTATTATTTTACTCGTAAATAAACACAATATTTACAAATACACACTACTGGCAATCTGTTAAATCGTAACTCGTTGTAATAATATAAATACTTTGATAAATCATCTTAGTTAAAGCTTGTAAATTGTTGAAAGATTACTATTCAATTAAAAAGAATAAACCGCTCGAACACCTGTCTAACAGTTGTAGTTCGTAAGAATTACACGTTAATATTTGGTGATGATGACAGAACCATCTTTTCCTAATTGGTACAGTAATAATACTAAAGAAAGCATATGAGTTTTGCAGATATAATTAGATATTAAGAACAACTGAAAAGAATATCAAAGAATCTTAAGAGGGAAGATAGAGAAAATGAAGTGTTGAATTAAAGTTACACAAAAGTTACATAAAGACTTAATGGATAGCACCATCATCCCGACCTCATAAAAGCTTGTGTAATATTTTAGTTATATAAAGCTCGCTGAAGATCACCTGATCAAATGCTAAATCTCAATTGGATAAAAGAAATAATGAATGCAAATTTAAAATCAAAGTTACAGACATCATTATTTTAACTTTGACAGATCAGAATTTTATGAAGTAAAGACTATTATAACCGTCAAATATCAAGGATCATAATAACATGTGTTTCATTCAAATCGGACTACTAGATAATGAGATAATTGAAGAAACATTATTTTTTTATTTTATTGGATTCTAGAAAATTTCTTTGAGGAAAAATTTTTTATTGAATAATCACGTGACATCAGAAAAGGATTACAAGAGTGAAAGCGAAAGTGTCAACAGCGTAATTGGCAGCTCTTAAAATAATATTTAGTTTATTGGACAACTTTACAGATTTAAAAAGAGGCAAAAGCGTAATGATGTGTAAAAATTTTATTGAATAATTGAGAAATACAAATTCAAGATACATGAAAATCAGAAATATGAAAAAGATACAACAGGGAAAAACTATTCTAGAAAGTATATTAAAAATATAAAACTCAAAGAAAACTATAGAATAGAAAAGAGAAAAGGGAGCGTAGGTTATATATTAATTAAAAATGTATGACAAGCGTAAATATGAACCAGCCAAAGCGTATGATATCCCTTTCTATTAATATTAGCAATCATTAATTATTATGAATGTGATAAGAAAAATTAAATTCACGACTTCTCTAATGCAATTATATAACTACTTCTTGAAACAATTGCCGAAGATGAACTATTTCTTCTAAAAGTCGTTTCTCTCTTTCAAAAGGCAGAGCTATTTGTTGTTGAAGATCATTAAAGCGTTGCCAGAGACCATTGTAGAGGAATTTTAAGTCCAAAAATTCTTCATTCTTATTGTCTAAATAAGAAGAAAGATTCGTCAATTCATTAGTTAGTTTAGTAATTTCCCGTAATTGTCGATGATTCTCTATTTTCAAAAAATTAATATGTTCTTGATGTTCTCTGAAAAGAGCGGACTGGCGAGTGATGAAAAATGGCTTCTTTGTTGTTTGCCTATATTGAAAATATAAAAGTTAAAATATATATATTTAAGAAAAGTTTGGAATTTTACAATAATTTTAGAAGAAAAAGCAAAATTTTAGAAAAAATAGGAAGAATCCTTAGACAAATACTTATATTCGAAGAAGTGATTATGAAAAATTCTCAAGACTGTGAGAATTATTTTTTTGCAGAAAAATAAACAAAATCCATTGGGTCGTATTGGATGATGATCATTGCATAAAAATCTATAGAACAAAGACCTGTTTAAAATTAGTGTAGTTAATCAATATTACTAAATTAGATGATCACGCAATATTTATATAGCATATTCGTGATCGATATTTTCTGATTTAAAACAAAATTTAGGAAATTTTTGTAAGCTGCATAATTTTAGAAGTTTGACAAAATGCATGCATG